CTACAGGAGCCCATTCTCTCCTCCCACCATGTTGGACCCAGGGAATAAACTCGGGTCATTAGGCTTTGTGGAAAGCACTGTTCCCCAGAGTCCAGTCACCTTAGTCCACCAGTGACATGCATACAACTAGGCACACACATAAAATAAATAGCATTTCAAAACAAAAGCACACTCTCCACCTCTTCTCTGCAAGCTCTAAAGATTTCAGCAGCATGTAGAATTGGTACTTACATGGTGGCTGGCTTCAAGGCTCTTTTCCAGCTTTTCTTTGTGATGAAATACTCAACAGCTTGGTACATAACTTATTACTGGTGAGCAGCTGTTGCCACCATTTTCCTCGTGCAGAGCTGCAGCTGTCCCCCTTCCTCTCCTCTTCTGCTCTCTCTCTTAAATGGCAGTGCCCCTTCTGGAATGGGGTCACTTCTTGTACTCTGTGGCTTGTATCACAGTGCCCTCCTCATCCATGATATGGCGTGTATCAGAATTCTGCTCTTTGGTTTATTTTGTGTGGCGTTGACTCATGTTTGCTAGATTAGCACTCACTCTGCCGCTGAGCTACATCCCAGTTCAGAGACGCCTCTCTTCAAGAAGCCAAACATGAACCACTTAGCCTATTCATCTGTTGGTCGACATCTGGGTGCCCTTGTGTTTTAGCTGCTGCGAACACTGCCACTGTGAACATTGGTGTACCTGCCAGGTAGAACTGCGCCATCATTTGCCCGCTCTGCGTTAGAAAACTTCCTAGGAAGTGCCGCACGTTGTCCATAGCAGCCGTACCTTTAGCATTTTTGCCTACAGTCTATAAGGGCTCAGTTTCTTGACATCCTTTCCAACACTTATTTTCCTGGGGGAGTTGACTTTTATTTTATACACATATGCACAGTTGTTGGGTTGTTTGTTTCAAGATAAGGTTTTATGATGTAGCCCAGGCTGGCCTCACACTTGTAGCCACTTCCCTGCCTCTTCTCGGATTACAGGTGTAGGCTGCCATACCTGGCTAACTGGTAGTTTCTAATAAGAATTTGTTTCCTTATAGGATAAAACAAGGGCCCTTGAAAAAGATGTGGGTATTCAAGAATTTAACCTAGAAAAGGTAAGCATTTTGAGGTAACTTTTAGTTCCTTTTTAAGGTTTGCATTGTTGACCTTGAGCTGGCAGCTTTAACACAGCGCCAGCCTTCTGCAGAGTCTTGTCTCAAGGCTAGGGAAATGGTGACCTAGTCTCAGGATGTTCACATGACTGACTTGACTAGCACAGGGTTACAGCGCAATGGCCGGTGATACAGTGGCAAGTCAGAAAGACGTGCATACTTTCACAGTGCAGCTGGTTTCTAAGATGCCTGACAAAAGGACAGGAGGAAGCCACTCAGCAACTTAGAGAACAGTTGTGGGGGCTGGAGAGATGGCTCAGAGGTTAGGAGCACTGCCTGTTCTTCTGAAGGTCCTGAGTTCAATTCCCAGCAACCACATGGTGGCTCACAACCATCTGGAATGAGATCTGGTGCAAAATACAGTATATATAATAAATAAAAAAAAAATGAGAACAGTTGTGTTTGAGCTGCTGTGGGCAGGTCCCGTGTGTGGACAGCATGTTGGAGAGGCACTTTCATCTAAGTGGCTGCCTCTCTGAACTGGTTGGTGGAGAGCATCCATTCACAGCACTGAGTGCTGCCTGAATCCCAATACTGTCACTGGTTCATGCAGAGATAATCATTGCTTCAGCTGTGGGATTAAACAAGGAGGGAACACTAAGAGCACAGGGGTTCAAGAATCTGCTGGTGCTTCCTCGGCCACGGCAGCACTGCAGGGTCCCGGCTGTGGGGCAGCGTGGCTGAGTGGCTGCTGCCGGGGGAGTTGTTGGCATGTGGGTCTGACTGTTGTGCACCAACAGGCTCGTTTGGAAGTACACCGCTTTGGGATCACGGGCTATGGCAAAGGAAAAGAGAGAGTCCTGGAACAGGAGCGAGCTATTGTGCTGGGGGCTAAGGTGAGGGGCTGCCTGCCATGGTCAGACCTAGGGGAAGGTGTAGCCCAGGGGCGCTGCTGGGACTGCCCTTTTCTTACTTGTAGGAGAAAAATGGATGGCGTGTCTTTATTCTTTCCTGTCAGGCTCCCAAAAGAAGTTACGTGAATTACAAGGTTTTACAGCAACAAATCAAAGAGAAGAGGAGAGCTCAGGAAGAAGAAGAGAGATTGGTGGGTGTCTGCTCTTTACTCTGCTAAGCAGGGCTGGCTGTCTCATGGCTGCCTGCAGGCGGGCTTAGCTTGCCAAATAGTAGGACACCAACATTGCCTAATGCCCCCTCCCAGCCCCCAGTTATATCAGCTGAGCTTCATCATGCCAGCTGAGGCATCTGGCCTGGTCATGGAGAAGGTGAGGCTGGCCTTGAGGCCAAAGGTCATTGCCACAGTGTCTGTTGAGTGCCCACCATGTGCCCAGCAGGTGCTGGTGCTCGACTATGGTTGTCCTGAGGGGTCATGACACTTGGGGTTTCTGACAGGGTCTCAGTGTGTAACCCAGGCTGGCTTAGAATTGCCCTCCACTGCCTCTGCCGTCTGAGTACAGTCACGGGTGTACACTACCGGATTCTGATACCTGTCGCATTTTGTAACAGGTCAGAGTGAGACTTGTTGGCTTATGTTTACTAAACCCACTTGAAAACATTAAAAAATGATGACATTTATGTGGCTTTTTGTCACAAACTTGCTGCCCTGTTGTAAATATTTACCATCCATTACTGATTCATTGTCTTTGCTGATTTAGGCCCGGGACACAGACATTTTCAAGAAAAAGAAGAGGAAAGTACAGGAGGACAGGTGGGTAGTGGCCACAGATGCTGGGGCGTCCCTGACCAGGTCTGTGGTTGGTTCTCGTGGGCCCGTGTGTGAGTGCAGCATCCCAGCCCTCTAGTTACCTGCTTGGGCCTGTGAAGAGGTGATTAGAAAACTGCCCCAGTGATGCGTGAGAATCTGAGCTCGCCATGGCTGGCCTAATGTGCCACACTCACAGTGGAGCTTCTTGATGTGAAATGGGGAAATAGTGGGAAAGGGCCTGGTACTTGTCTTAGCTTTGGGTAAGGATTCCTCTCCTGGGCACCGTGCTCCGGTCTGGCTCTTCATCGTAGCCCTTTCTCACAGCAGTGTCTTTATCAATTGAGTGCCCATTCTGTGCCAGGTAAGTGTTGGTGCCCAGGTGACGTCACCCTGAGGGAGCCCTGTCCCTTGAGGGGCATGGCAGTGAGGGAAGCCTCCAACTGTGGAAGCAAACTGGTGATGTCTGGTGCTAGCGAGTCCTGTAAAGAGGGTTGAGCTGGAGGTCACTTCAGGGAGGTGACGTCTGTCAGGAACTGAGAGCAAAGAGGAAGGGTCACCCTGAAATAGTGTTCAGCACCTTGTGGAGCGCGAGACCAGTGCAGTTGTGGTAGGGCCTGCATGAGAAGAGGAATCCACGCCTGTGGTCCTGCTTGCTCTAACTGCCTGGCACCCTTCTCTTACTGTCAACACAGGAGATCCAAGAAGTCGGCTCCCAGCATTTTGTCAAATGGAAAAGTTGGACAAGTTGGAAAATTCAGAAATGGGACATTGATTCTAAGCCACGCTGATATCAGGAAAATAAATTCTTCCAGAGTAGCAAAATGATGAACTTTGTCAGCTCCAGAGAGGAGTAGGAACCGTGACAAGTGCTGACACAGGACCACTGAACTGCAGACCGCACTTCATGTCCCTCGGGGTCTCTTCATGAGGAGCAAAACGGATAAACAGGGTGGAGACCTGCTGAGTGCCGGCCAGGCCCAGGCTCCACTCCCCTGTGCTGGAGAGGTTGTTCTCCGCAGTGGTGGTGACCTGCTGAGTGCCGGCCAGGCCCAGGCTCCACTCTGGTTTCTGGTTGCTAGTGTCAGCAACTTGGTTCCAGTCCTCCTTTTCACAGTTTCACTGTCTCCTGGGTGTTTGTGATTGCCGTTACAGTGCCTTTTGGACTTCTGATGACAGTGTTACTATGTCATGAAAGAACTAAGAACTTTTGTCATCTTTCGGTTTTCTGGAAAAGCAGTTCTATTGTCAACCTACTTTGTGTTAAATCCATTTTGTAAGAATTTTCAAAAATACATATCTGTTGTATGAGGGCTGGCTGTTGAGTAACACACGGCAGTTCTAACTGGTTTCCCATACCTCACAAGGCCGTGTTTATGGTGATGTTACCCCTACCTGGGTGTCAGCGTCTTCTCAGAGAGTGAGGTAAGTTAAAGGGAGATCTCCAGTGAGGAAGGATTCTGGTACTTCCCACCTTAGGTGTTTGGCTCCTTGTCCAGTAAGCACTGTGATGTGGATTTAGAGACCTTTAGGTCATGGCCAGCAGGTTGTCAGGTGGCTCCGAAAGTATCGCCAAACCAACTCATGAGGTGGAATCCAATTTGCTAGTTTTTTTTAGATGACATTTTTTAAGTTTATTTTGTGTGTATGTTAGGGCACATGTGCCATGGTGTTTGTGTGGAAGTCATAGGCCCACTGAGCCACCTCACTCAGTTATTCATTTGTATGTGTGCTGAGCATTGTAGCCTTATGGCGAGCATGAGGACAGTAGAGACTGGCATGTCAGCAGGTGACAGGGATACCATAACAAAGCTGGACAGGTGGATTCTTGGGGCTTGCCCAGCCAGGCTAGCTGAATTGGCAAGTGCTAGGCCCATAAAGAACCTGACTCAAAAAAACAAGTGGAGGTTGACCTCTAGCCTGCGCATATGTGAACAAATATGCACACATTCTCTCTCTCTCTCTCTCTCTCACACACACACACACACACACACACAATATTTTAAAAATGAAACCATACCTTCATTGTAGAAAATGGTGCCTTATAATTTGAACCCACATCTTTACTTTGAGATTTGGGAGCTTACAAAACTAAAGCTGATGACCCGTGGTCAGCCAGGGCCAGTCTGTGAAAATGGGGAAGGGACCAAGACCACACCTGTCTTCCAGTTGTTGGCAGTGTCAAAAGAATTTATTTCAAATCTGTTTAAGAATGTGGTAAAACTCAAGTTTCCAAAAAGTAATACAGAAAGTTCAACCAACCCCCTAAAGACCAGAAAACACAGTGTTTGCAATTCAAAAAATACAAACGCTTGTGGATACCTATACAAAAATTAGAAAAAATTACGTTCCTTACCACTTCCCACCCCTCTGTTTTCAGTGAAACATGAACAGCCACAGGACCAAGAGCTGCCACCAAATACCAACCACTGGGGACAGAATCAATGTGGTAGGGAGGGTGGGGAGAGAAGGCAAGGAAAGGCAGGAAAATGGGGCCAAAACAACAGTACGCAGCTTTCTGTTTCTGTTAAATTCCTTTGCCAACATTATACAAACACCTCTCATGCTCAGCGCCGTGTAGTGCAAAGGCGGCAGTCTACGTCATGCATTCACGTTTTCTGTTTGTCTACACCCCACTCTCTGCTGGTGCTGAGAAAGTGGGGGACTTAGGAAGTACAGTCTCTGGGGGTTTGGAGTTGGAAAGGCCACTACAGGCCACGCAAGGAGCTCCATCAGCCATCCCAAGGCCTGTGTAGCATCTGCTCAGAACTGCGCACAAAGGCTTGGTGCCCAGTGCCACCCTGCTGGCCCTCAAGCTCTGGGACCTTTCCCAGGGCTGGGTTGACAGCTGGGCCCTCAGTGAGCTGCACCACTTGAGGAAATCACCTCGCTTAGAGTCAGGTCCCACCCAGCTCCTTCCCCTGAATTCAGCACAATTCATGGAAAAGATCAGGCTCCCTGCCCTTCATAGCTTGTGCCACAAGTCCCAACCGCAGCCGCCTGTCTAAAATTGACTTGTCACTAGCCATCCCAAGCTAGAGGTCCCAGTTCAGCTGTATGTCATAACACTCTCAGGTGTCTCCCAAAGCCACTCCCACTGCTGGGTAAACAGATGTGAAAGGCCGTGGGTAGGAGGATTCCCTAAAGACCAGAACGGAAGGAAGGAACGGGGCAAAAGGCTGGCTAACATCTTTTCTTGGCTTAGGGGACACCGCACACAGATGCTTTTAGCACTCAAGAGAAGGTTGCTGACGGGTTTGGCCTGTTCAAGGCCCTGGCACGTCACATTAACCCAGGCTCTCCATTAATGGATGAGCTTGCTGTGGTCCCGTGAGTGTCTGAAATGCCAGGCACTATGCGAAAAGACTTGCTTGGGTGGAAGACACTGTGGTTATCCAGGTTTGAGCCACCGAATGAGTCATTTAGCCTGGGCCTTGCTGATGAGTCTATTCCATGATCCACACAGTACAGAGAGGAGGTAGTTGGCATGACCAGCCCTGTTTGCAGGAAGGGATACCGAGGCACGGAAACAAGTAGGATATTCACCTCATGCATGCCATGAGCCAACATCAAAGCCAGTTTAAGGGGTAAATGCTGAGAGATGTCCTACTTTCCCGTCCTGCCTCAAGCCCCCTCTTACCTTAGTTCACCTCTCCACCTCCTCAGGACCTCTTCAGACAAGAGCCATACCAGGCTGTCACCAACAACTGGCTATTCCAGGGTAACAGAGTTTGGACTTTGAATGTCTTCTAATAATATATGATATTTCTTTAACTCCTTGAGGGCCCCAAATCCATTAAGATGTCCCTGTTCCTTCTTGGAAAATGTGGCCAAGAAAAATGGAGGGAAGGAGCCTTTCTTTCCGAGAACAGAGGTGGGCTTGGCCACTATCTTCAGTGAGCAGAAATGGGAGCCCCTTTGTCCTCACATGCTTCACTGAAAACCTGTGAAGAATTCTTACGTTGGGGTAACATGAGGCCAGTGGCTTTGAAACAGATCTCCTATGTGACACAGGAATGGGTACCAACACTATGAATGTCAACACCCAACAAATCAATATGACCCAGATCCAGGTCAGCCCCAAGGGGGCATCTGGAAATGTCTGGGTATTTGGGATTGTCACACTAACTGGGGGTGCTCTTGGTATCGTGAGGATCCAGACAATGGGTGCTTAATGCTTTTCAGCACGCAGGCCCCACCCAAAATGTCAGCATTAAGCACCCAGGGTCACTCCCACAGTTCTGTGATGGTGTTCTTTACACTCCCGTATCGAGATTCCCCCCAGTGATTTTATCCACTGTCTTCACCCCTCTGTAACAAGAGACCCTAGGGGGTGGAGACAGCCTCATCAAGGGCAAACCCAGACCACCTGCCCTGAGGCACGTCTCCACTCAAGGAGCAAGCCTCTCAATCAGAGAATTAAGGCTGACATGCTGCCCCTGGGAAAGAAAATTCACTGTGGATGCTACACTCTGGCCTTCACCTGAAAGGGCCAGGGAAGGGGTAGGGCAACATGAGCGAGAGAAAGGCCTCAGTAAGGTGGACATCCCCTTCTCTCCCCTTCTCGGCAGAGCTCACCCTGTGTCAGGGCTCACCCTGATAGCATATTGCTTCCTGGCTCTGGACCCCTGGGCCCTACAGAGCCACTAAGAACATTTTTGGGATCACAGAGTACTCAAAGGACTGAAGGTGCAGCCTGGACCACACACGGCGTGAGTGCCAAGGCCAGGCAGTTGTCTCCAGATAGGACAGAGGAGGAAAAGCCTGGGCTGGGGTCCTGCTGTCCTACTGTGAGGGAGGAGGAGCTGTGTGTGTGTGGGGGGGGGTAGGTGCCAGTGGGTACTGTCAAGGACATTCATTTCAAAGGGATTGGCATTCCCTAGCCCACACAGAGAGCAGGCTCCAGGTGAATTTCTTCCTCAGACTTACCCTAAATTCCTACTCAGTGGCCAACCAAGGAAGGCCTCCCTTGATGTCATTTTCATACAGCAGTCATCTCAGCGTCAGTGCTAAGGACTCGATGTCCTAAGACCCCAGGATCTGTCCGTCTGTCACGTGCAATTCCAGGGCCTTGCCACTGTGAGGAGTTAAGTTCCTTCGCTTTTTGATCACCTCAAACCCCCAAGTGTGTCGTACGGCGCTGCTCTTCTCTCATCCATGCATTCTTGTCCCTGAAAGGCGCCCTGTGCAGAAGGCGGGGGAGGTGGCTGTGTAGGGCTGCCCGGGTTGGCCCTGGCATCAGCGTATTGCTTCTGGGCTCTAGTGAGCAAAGGGAGATTTAGCACCCCCACTCATGCTGCCGTGGGAGATGGGGAGCTGGACCTCCCTTGCTCAACTCCAGGGAACCTCCTTAAAGAGGTTAACTGAGTTGGGTGCGATGCTCACCTCTGTAATCTCAGTACTCGGGAGGCTGAGGCAGGAGGATTGCTGTGAGTTCAAGGCCAGCCTGAGCTATACAGTGAATTCCAGGCCAGCCTGGGCTACAGTGTGAGACCATGTCTCAAACAAACTAAAATAAGAAGGAGGAAGAGTAAAAGGAGGAGGGGAGAAGAGAAAAAGGAAGAGAAGGGGGAGGAGGAAGAAGAGGAAGAAGAGGAGAAGGAGGAAAGTGATCTCCAAGAGCACTGGGGGCTCAATTGTTGAGCATGTGCAAGACCAAGGCCATGGGTTGGATTTTCCAGCACCAGAAAAAATAGTCCCCTGGAATGGTGGCCATTTTCTTATCTCCCCAAAGCCACCCACAGCTCCAGGTCTGCCCAAGTGACTCCCACTTCCCAGGCAGGGGCTTGACCTGGGCTTTGAAGACTGCGGGGCTCCCCCTGGCCAGCTTTTCTGTGTGTTCTTACTCCAGAGTCTCTGGAATCTTCTACCAGAGAGCCAGACACCACCAGAGAACCACCACCATCACCATCACCATCACCGCCACCACCCCAACCATGGCCACATGTGACTGCCTGGGTCTTCACTTTGAAGCTCCTTTCCCTCCATTTGCTGGGGTCTTCCAGAACTGTGGCTGTGGGTCAACAGGACCAGCTGAGCAACTGAGGACATGGTAGCCAGGGTCCTGTGGGCTACCCTGAGGGCTTTAGATGGAGTTATAGGCCACTGAGCCAGAGACCACTTGGCAGGAAGAGAATCCAAAGAAGCCAAAGCTATGCCTCTGCATTGACGGTAACTCCAGGACCCAGTGTGGAGGCTGGACAGCGCTGAACTGCTCCTGGTGACGTTGGAGTATCTGAGGAAACAAGGGCCGTGAGCAAGAGCTCTGAGGTAGGACTGGAGGGTCTGTGCAGCCCAGTGGTGGGTACTTGGGAACAGGTGCAGGACCCGTGCACAAAGGCGGAGAGGAAGCACGATTGGGGTGCCGTGCAGATGCATCCGATAAAAACCAGCCCAGCTGATGGACAAGTCATTCCTCCGTGTAAAACGAAATGCCTGATGAATTCTTTCCAAAGGAGAGAGCAAGGTTACTGCCAGGCAGAGCGGGAGACTGCGGGACGCTGGAAGGGAGGTCGCGGGGCCTGACGGAGGGTGACTCCATGTGGACCTCACCAGCGCGAGCGGCGCTCCTCAGAAGAAGGAGAGCCTCCCTGCACCCCAGAGAACCCTGGCTCATGTGGAAAGACAAGTTGTAAGGTGTCGTCATTGAGTCTCAGCCTTTCTCCAGGCCTTGTTTGTCCCATTGTCATGGAGCCACCCATATTCCCACCAGGTACTTCTCATGTTCAAGATGCTTCCAGCAGGGCACCCAGGGAAGTTACAGGGGCTTTGATGTGAGGCCAGGGTCTGCTGCTTCTGTGCTCAAGGCCTAGCTCAGGAAGGAAGGCAGAGTAGATAGATTTCCATCAATGTCTGGGAAAGCAGGTTCTAGAAAAAGCCACCATTGTGCAAAGACATGTCACTGTCTTGGATTCCAGTGTTTCTGTTTGTAACTAAGAATGGAATGAATAAAATTTAACTGGTTATTACACACACCGTGTGTGTGTGTGTGTGTGTGTGTGTGTGTGTGTTGATAGCACATAGTTCATAATAAAGGCCTTAAGGAAGCCCTTCTGAAGGGTTCTGGTAGATTAATGTCCCTTCCATTAGTCCTGAATTAGTTTGTGGTGTATTGAAGACTCCATATCCCGAAGGCTCAAGGTCAGTTTCTCCCAGCAGAGGTGACAAGCTGCCGGTTTGGCAGGAGCAGACTCCTAGAAACAGGTTTGACACTGGCGTGGAGTGACATCACCGCGCAGACTCATCTTGGGATACCCGTCCCAAAGTTAGCTTTCCTCTCTCCCTCCAGAAAAAAAAAAAATCTAAGGGGAAATCAAACTTTCCAAACAATGTCGGAGAACATCAGCCTGAAACCAAAGGCTTCCAGAGCGCCCTCTTGAGGGCACCCTAGGGACCATAAGCTCTGTGGTACAGAGGTGAGAGGTCACTCCTGACAGACATAGGCAGCCACAGTATGGCCTTGTTACTCACAGCGCCTTCACTCTCCATTCCCCCCAAAAAGCATCTTCAGACATTCACTGGCTACTGGGACTTCCTGTTGTGCCCTTGTCCTCTGTGAGGGCCTCCGTGACAGCCAGCTAGGCCGCAGGAGCCACCAGGCTAGTTGCCTGCCAGCTTTGGCCGTCCGAGGTTTGTTGGCACCTCCAGTCCCGTGTGCAGGGTGACCTGGAAAAGAAGATGAGACAGCAGGGATTGGCTCAGTGGCAGAGCGCTTGCGTAGTGTACACAAGACCCTAGGTCCCATCCCTAACACGGAAGAAAGAGAGAGAGGAGGAAGAGGCAGGAGGTCGAGGAGATGGAGCAGAGCAAAGGGCAGGCGAGGCCGTCCACAGCACCAAATGCAATGTGTCCACTGGAGAACTTGTGCTTTGGGCTTTGTTACTCTCTTGTCCAGGTCACATTGCTAAGTCTGTGTCCCCTTGTGCATCTTTCTTCATCATAGGAGCTGCACTGATGGCCAGCTGGGTGCCCTGTTTGGCTAGCGCCATCAAGCCCTGCAGCAGAGGGAGTCTGGTTCTCACAGCCGAGTATCTAGTAGCACCTGGCTCTCCTCTAGTCACCTGACAGCTACTCTGTGCTCCTCAAATCCCTTTTCTTCTTTTTTTCTTTTAGTTTTTGTTTGTTTGTTCTTTCGAGACAGGGTTTCTCTGTGTAACAGCCCTAACTGTCCTGGAACTAGCCCTGTAGAACAGGCTGGCCTGAACTCTCAGAGATCCGCCTACCTCTGCCTCCCACGTGCTGGGATTAAAGGCGTGCACCACCCTTTTTCAAGTAACCAATCAGTTGTTGGGCAGTAGACACAATGTAGGTCCCTACAATGATGGAGGAAGGTCATTGGCTAATAAAGAAACTGCCTTGGCCCATTTGATAGGCCAGCCCTTAGGTGAGCAGCCTGGCTAGCTTATGCCCCGAAATAACAACACACAAACTGTATTCATTTAAACACTGCCTGACCCTTTTCTATTAATGTGTGTAGCACCGAGGTGCACTTACCAGGAAGATTCTAGCCTACGTCCATCCTGGGTCGGAGCTTCATTGTGTCTGCCCCAGAGAGCAGAGCTAAGGCGTATGAGCTCACTTCCTCTTCCTCCCAGCATTCTGTTCTGTTTACTCCACCCACCTAAAGGCTGGCCTATCAAATAGGCCAAGGCAGTTTCTTTATTAGCCAATGACCTTCCTCCATCATTACACGGCTCGAGGGATAGAAGGAATCTGTTAGAAATGAAGGGATTGATACCCCTGTCCTCTGACCTCTCGTTTGGCCTGTGTCAGGAGCTCCTCTGCCATCTCATTCCCTTGGGACACTGAGCCCCTGCTTCTTCCTGGAACCCCCCAGAACCCATTTGCTCCAAGTTATCAAGTAGAAACCAAATGCAATACTTAGGACCTCCTCCATGGATACTCAGAGAGGCCGGCATGCAGGCTGCCTATCTGGTGAACGAGGTGGCCAGTCTCACTAGAGTGCTCATTGTTCAAGAAGCAGATACGTCGCAGGGATGGGGCAGGCAGCTGTGTTTCTGAGGATACCTGCACGTTTCGGTTGAGGCTGAGGGCAGGCATGAAGACCCCATCCACGTGGCTGAAGGCTGTGGGGCCCTGCTGCTGCCCATTGATGAAGAAGGTCAGTGTGTGCTTGTTCAGGTCCAGCAGCACGCCCACGGTCGCCCCCTTGCACACTCCGCCTTCAGTCCTGGGAAGACAAGCCAGGAAAACCTGTCACCATGCACAGCTCCTGATGTCACAGTAACTGAGAGTACCCCAGATGATTCTGGGAACACCCTCATCCAAAATCAGCCTCCAAGTGTGTGTGTGCACGTGTGCATGTGTGTGTCCGTCCACATGTGTGTGCATGTGTGTGCGCGTGTGTGTGTGTGTTCACATGTGTGTGCCCATGTGTGTGCGTATGTGTGCATGTGTGTGTGCGTGCATGTGTGTGTCAGACACAAGAGAAGACAACCCTGAGGGACTAAAGCTGCTCAGCCCCTTCTAATTCATAGTGTCTGAGACTTGCCCACCAGGGAAGGAGAGCTTGGCAGCTGGATCCCTCCTGAAAACCACAGGGCACCAAGTGTGAGCACAGAAGGGAAGTAACGAGGTCATCTTTCTGTGTTTGGTCCACACTGATACAGAACTGCATGGAAATACAGGTACCACGCCCCAGAGATATTTTGAGAACATTCCCCTTTAGTTCGCCTGCACAGAACCTTCCCAGGGGACCAGCAGCATGTGTGGGAGATGCATGCTGAGTTGGGAATCAGGTCCCCTATCTGAGTCACCACTCCACAGGTGACCATGCTGGTTTTGGAGCACTTGACAAATGTTAGGACTAAGACATTGCTGGGATGGTAACAGTCTATCTTCAGGTGGGGAGGAAGTTTAAGTAATGACCTGGAAGACTTCGCATGGAAGCCTCTGTGCGCTTCTGCAGACTTTCCCTCGTTAATTAAGGGCTCCCTTAGCATCAACCTCATTCAGCCCTGGGAGGAAACTGTGAGTCCTTGGTTAGGACTGAGCCAGGGGCAGAGGTGAGGAGTCTTTAGAAGAAGTCTTTTCCTGACACGAGGTCTTTAGAAGGGCCTGGTGGAATGACTGGGAGGAGGATGTAGCTCCTTGTGGGGTCTTAGGGCTCAGTGGAGAAGGGTCCCACAGAGGGACTCTCAAAACTTGACAGTCGACGCATTTCTAATACTGAACACCAGGTGGCAGTAGTGACAAGTCTGCCCTGCCTGCTTTCTACACAGCCACCCCTAGATCACGTCTGGAAGTCGTGCTTCCTCTGGGAGAAACATCACCAGCATTTGCCTCACACCTGTGACACGGGAGGTGTGCAAACAGGTGTAGTTCTTCCCTCTGCTGTCTTTGGACCCTCATGTTCCTTCTGGTCCTCTATGGGAAGCCAAGGGGCTGGCTGGCAAGGGCTCCAGGGCATTTGGGGGCTATGATAGCCTATGCCCTGGAGATTGAGGGCTTCCTACCACAGGAGACTCCACTGATGTCCTCTCTAAATCCTAACAGCACCTGTTAGTCTCTCCAGGTCTGAGCAAAGTCCAGCCTGCCTAAATATGCCTCATTGTCTACAATAGAGATAGGGCTTTTGTGAGGAGGAAGGGCGCTCAGGTCGCCCCCTTGCACCCTACGGTATCAAGCAGAGTCAACACCCGATGCATGCTTAAGGTTATTACTGCCCCATCACAGAGTGTGATGGAGTTGGTTGCTGTATTGGCTCCAGCACACAGACACGGAACGGGTAGGCCAGGGTGGTCTTGGTCCCCCCCCCTGTGGGTTAGAGCTGGAGAGAGGTCAGCCTGTAGCACCCAGTAAGTCCACAGTACCTGGTCAGCCTGCATTGTCAGGTTGGCCTTTATCGCCTGGTCATCCTCGACCACGACCTGGTCAGCCTGTGCCATCTGGTTAGCCTTCAGCAGCTAATCAGCAGCCTTTATCACCTGGTCAACTTGCATCACCTGGTCAGCCTGTATCACTTGGTTAGCCTACATCACTTTATCTGCGGTACCTGGCCAGACTGCTTTGCTTGGTTAACCTGCAGTGCCTGGTCAGTTCCATAGCTCAGCTAGAGAGTCCAGGGATAGCCACTTCCCTTCCCATAAGCCTCTGGAGAGGAGGACATTACTGGTGAAAAGACAGTGGTCAAGTAGGGACCTGAGAGTCCTCAGGCAAGCTCCTGGCCAAACTAGACCTGACTTTCCTGGGGGAGGAGCTGGGTTACTCGCTGAAGAGAGCACACTGAGCTCTCTGTAAGAGCAAGAGGGGGGCCAAGAACACAAGCACCTCAGGGACAGACCAGCCCTGCCAGGACCCCAGCTCCTTGAGAGTGAAGCTTTTGATTATTTTTCTAGGGCACTGGTAGGGTCATTCCAGGCAAACCACCAGCCATTCTAGGCAAACCACCGGCCATGGCAGAGACTTCTGTTCCCTCTGTGGGAAACAGCTCTCCCATTAGCTCTGTGCATTGACTCAGGCTTAGCTTGGCGGTTGTAAAGAAAATTGGAGCAGGACCGGTAAGATAACCACAAATTAAGCTCCCAGCAGAAAGTCACTGTGAGGCCAGCTGGGGGGTGGAGCACCTCTAGGCCAGAGCGGCTCCTCCCATCAAGTACTTTCAGTTTCGCCATAGGCAGATGGTTCACTTCTCCAAGTCATTGTCCAAGCCCCCTTGAGCTAGAGTACAAAGTACCTCAAAAGCATCTCGTCTCCCAACACTTGGGGACAATCAAAGGGACCCGGTCTGCAAGCCACTCATTGCTAACCCCTGAGTCCCCGGAGGGCGGGGCGGGTGCGCACCTGTTGGTGTGTGAGTTACAGTGCATGAACCAGCTGCGGTTGTTGTCCACGTACATGGCCCAGGCCTTGTCATCCTTGCCCAGCATCATGTCCTTGACGACGCTGGCCCTGGCCACCCCGAAGGCGGGGTCTGGGTGGTTGTCATAGCGGTCCACATGCAGCTCCCAGTAGTGCACGCCTTTGGAGAACGCAGCTGTGCCTAGCACCACCCGGTCGTCATAGCTACTGCAGGTGGCTGTCTGGTTGTCATTAGATAAGATGATGTCCCGGTGACCAGAGTTGGGGTCAAAAGTGAACCAGGCCACTGGAAAGGAAGAAGTCAAAACGAACAAGGTCAAACAGTCTGTTCCTCTCCCTCCCTCCCCCACCCTTATGCAGGTGCGAGCACATACAAATTTTGCTGTATAGCCAAGGTGACTAATAGATTCATTTGCTGCTTTAGAGTTGATTTTCTGTGACCAGTGGTCTTTGTGGGATGCACACACTCACAGAACAAGTCACGAGGAACAAGCCAGTAACCACTCCTCCATGGCTTCTGTTTCAGTTCCTGCCTCCAGGTTCCTGCCTTCAATTCCTGCCCTGAGTTCCCTCAGTGTTGGACTGTGACCTGAAACCTACCACAAAGTCTCTCTCGCTCTTGCTCTCTCTCTTTCCCCCTCTCCTTGCTCTGTGTTCCTCCAAGTTTCCATTCCATTGATCCAGCATTGCTAAGGAGCTCAGACATGCAGGCCCCCTTGCCCCACGACCAGGGAGTACATTTCCTAAGCCCTGAATCCCAGCCTCTCCCCAATGATGCAGGCTCTGTTAGAAGTGACAGAGGAAATGGCTACCCATGGCCCACCTTGTAGGGAGGAGATTGAAAAACAAAGAGGTGACATGAGGTCACAAATCTCAAGTCCCATTAGAAGGTGGCACCGTCTTCTGCTCACCCCCTCCACCCCAGCCTGTGGGAAGTGTGGCCTTGCTCTGACAGCTGACCTCCCAGCTAAGGACTGCTCACCATCAGAGGTCTGAAGGACCACGGTCTTGCTGTAGGGCCCGACGCCAGAGGAGTTGAAGGCTTTGACTCTGGCATTGTAGGTGCTGTTGAAGTGGAGCCCGTCAATGGTGCACAGGGTCTCCTTGCCCACGTATACTTCCTGAAAGAGCCAAGGACATTCACTAGGTCTCAGAGCTTCTGCGAGTTCCCCTGAGGGCACATCCACACTAGAAGTGCCCTCATACCTACAGAAGTACCAGATGGAGATGCTCCAACCCAGGCTGGTCACCCTGGTGGGGGGCAGGCTTTGCCATGGGATGCGATAAGAGGAATGGGGTCCTGGGAGGATGGGGGTGTGGGTGTGAAGCTAGGATGTTGCCTGAGAGCTCCCTGCCTCCACTTTCAGCCCTTCCAGAAACCAAGGGGGACACCTGAAAACCCTCCTGCCCGGAGATCATCACCATCTGCTCCTTGACACCTGTCTCTTTGGTTTCTGTGTCTCCAAGACAGCGAGCTTCCTCATGCTGGGCCTTGATTCTCATTTCCTCGGGTTTTTGCTTTATTCCCCGTTCATCTCTGAGTTCCCTTTGTCCTGCTAAACACCAGTTTGTGTTGGATTGTTTGAAACAAGATGTTACTCCATAGCCCAGGCTAGCCTCAGACTCTCACTCCTTCTGCCCCAGCCTCTGAGTGCTGGGGTTCCAGGGATGAACCACACACCTAGCTAGCATTCATGAGCCAGCAGCTTTCCAGTTCCTGACGGGCCCAAGAAGACACCCTCCACTGCAGAAACATGCTTCCAAGACAGCCCACCTCACCACCCTAGCGTCAAAGCCAGAGAGCCAGGCTAAAGGCAATGTGGAAAAGCCCCGCAAAGAATCGTGTGGGAAGTATGTAAGATGTGGGCTAGCCTGTGGAAAGTGTATACATGTAGGCAGGGCCCTCTCTGAGGTGTCGTTCCTTGAATATCACCCAAATTTCTTTGCCAGGCACCTCTCCCTGAGGCTGTGGCCACAGCTACTACCATAGGAAGTGCTACCTCCTGAGAACCCAGACTGACAGAGTTTCTTCATCTTTGTAGTCAAAGTGCTTGTCTTTGGGTAACAACAGGGTTAAGAGCAGCCCAGGACAGTCCTCTCTGGGCCTTGCATTAGGGTTTTCAAACAACGGCAGGCGTCACCTGCAGCTGCCCTCCAGACCAGCAGGCCTCACTGGAAGCCACCCCCTGAGCAGCAGGCCTCTCTAACTCACCCGGAACTGCCCCCCATCGCCATCGTCCAGCTCCAGGATGTAGCCATCAGCGGGGCTGTGGGTAAAGGGCGGTGTCCTCCAGGCCAGGGTGACGCTGTTATTGCGGGTGCAGCACTTCTCCAGCTGCAGCAGGGGTACAGGTGGCACTGTGACAGGGGTCACTCTGGTCAGCACACAGCACCCTCCTGCAGGCCCCAATCCACCCCCACCTACCCAAACCCTCGGGACCTGTGCCCTGAGGAAGAAACCCCTCTTTTCTTTCTTCCCACCAAGAGCTCCCGGGCCATGAGGCACACCCAAATGACCTCAGCACAGCCCATACTGTACATGGTGTAGAGTCACCTATGTGGGTTCAGAAGGTGGAGGACAGGGCAGAAACCAAGTGAGAGCCAGTCTGCAGCTTACACTTAATCTGGGAATGGAGGAGCTGTGGCTTGGATCTTAACGTCTCTCAAACGCCCCTGTGTTAAAGGCTTTCTCACCAGGATGGCACTAATGGGAGGTGGTAAAGCCTTTGCGAGATGGGGATGAGAGGGCACATTAGTGGTGTGCCCATGAAGGAGATTGCGGGGCCCTAGCTCTTTTCTCTTTCTCCTTTCTGGCCACGGGACAGGGGGCTCTGCCATGGCATACCCACCACGGGTCCAAAGCCACAGGCCAACCTCAGACTAAAACATCCAAAGCCATGAACCCAAATAAATCTTTCCCCTTTTATAAGTCGATCACCTCGGATGTGACAAAAAGATTACTGACACTTGATGGAAACTTGATGGAAGCTTTGGAAGCTTTGCAAGGTCACAGGACTAGACCATGGCACCAGACACAACTTCACATGGCTGGGTAGCCAACCCATGGAGCAAGGGGCGGAATCCGGCATGCTCTGAGCTCACTAAAGGCAACCAGGAAAACCTGAATATGTCCCAGCTCTATTCAGGCTCAAGAGGATGTGGAAGGTGACACAGGCCACTCTGGCCTGGTTTGGAAGGGGAAACAGCAAGACTTGTTCTATAAACCTGCAGGCTTCGTTTTGACTCAGAATGACCTTGTTGTCTGTCCAGGGTTGGCTGGTGGCCCAGGAGAGGGAGCCTGTGTCAACAACAGGCGTTTGGCCTCTTTCCTCCTGCTCTCCTACTTTCTTACTTCCTCTCCTCCTTTTTCCTTCATTCTCTCCTCTTCTCACTTCTTCCTCTTCTTTTCTCCCCCCTCTTTATTCTCCTCCTTTCTTTTTTTTCTTCCTTCTCCTGTTAGAATTACAGGCATCCCATACCTGGCTCCTCCCCTTTGTTCTTTCCTCCCACCTCCTCATCCCCCCCGCCCCCCCCCCCCGTCATCTTCCTTCTCCCCCTCACCTGGGAATACACCCTGACATCTACACAAGCCCTCTGCACCTGCTGCTAGCATTAATAGGCCCCTGGAAGGCCGTTTCTTTAGCCTGCAAGTGCAGTCTGGGTAGGAATTTGCAACCTTGCTCACATATGCAACCTGAGCCCCTGGGCAGCCCAGGTCATGATGACACTGCCCCTGCTCTTTCTGCTTCCTGTCCTTGATCCTTGGTCTAAGAAAGGCAATTCAGGCAGCTGCAGCTCTCCCTTCCTGGCTGGGACCTGGGATCCTCACCCTTCCCTCTGCTACCATGCATGACAGGTTCCCGCCACCATCAAGCCGGCCTTAGCCTGTGTGCCTCTCGGGGAGGCAGCGTCACTAAATGGGTCCGACCACGGCTCACCCCTACATTTCATCTGGACGAAGTCCAGCTGGTGGATGGCTTGCAGCAAAGGTTCGCTGTCCAAAGTTAGGTCAAATTCCGCAGACACTTTGGGCTCCAGGGCACCTTTGACCCACTGCTCCTGGGACACCTGCACACGTTTGATCAGGGCATCTGAGATCTTAAAGGAAGCACAGAAAGGAGGTTTGGGTCTGCAGAGGAAGAGCGGTGAGCCTTTGTGGGAAAGGGCTCAGCTTTGTCTATGGCTCATCCAAGGGAAGAGGTGGACTGAGCCTGGACCTGAGTCATGGCCAAGCTTAAGTGAGCACAACCACCTAGACAAACTGTTGTTTCAGCCACAGTTCAAATACATAATCATATTAATGTGTGTGTGTGCATATATATATGTATGTATTATTTTTCTGATCATGTTAATGTGAAGAACCACCAATGAAATTAAAATAAAAAAGGTGGCCCAACATTTTTACAAAGTCATGGTGCTTTTTTCAGGTAGGAAAATACACCCTTTATACATCTGTTTGGCCAGGCCTCTCACTTGGCAAGGTGAGATATACTAGCAGCTTGTCCTGGGTGTGAAGAATGTGCTTCCATTGCCTCCAGGTTTTGAAGCCATGCCCGTGTCCTCCTGCTATGCCTTCTGCCAACTATTCCATGGCTTCTGCTGCAAATCCTGTGTTGCACCTATGTTCTGCCTTCCTTTGCTGCAAAATTCTGCGTCTGAGACCTGCGTGCATGTTCCCAAAGAATCATGATGTGCGCCTTTCTCCTCTTCTTTTCTTTTTAGATTTATTTTTACCTTATGTGTACAGATGTTTGCCTGCACTGTGTGTAGGTCTGGTCCCCTAGGAGGTTAGAAAAGGGCATGAGATCCCCAGAAACTAGGGTTACAGATCATTGGGAACCATCACGTGTGTGTTAGGAACCAAACCCAGGTCTTCTGCAAGGGCAGCAAATGCTCTTAGTCGCTGAGCCATCTCTTTAGTCCTCCCTGCAGCCTTCTTTGAGAGTAAGCAATGGGATCCATGACTTCTTCCATGGCTAAGCTGATACATGATGATGTTCTTGAGAGTGAATGTCCTCAAGTTAGCCTGCCTGTGGGGCAATTGCCCTAACAGGACTGCACCATCTCTGGGGGAAGGTGGATCCTGCCCCTCACCTCCCTCTGTACAGTTTGCCGGGCTCATGTGGCATAGACGGTGTTTTCCCGTTACTGGGAGGAAACTGGAGCATGGCATGTAGTCCCTAGAGATGATGCCTTTTCTTGCTAGTGAGATTCAGAGCCATGGTGACAGCCCAGGTCTCCTGGCCTCACAGAGCAAATGGGAAGCTATTCAAATCCCAGCCAGAGAAGGACAGAGCCTAGAGCAAGACCTGGTTCAGGAAGAGCAGGGAGCATTGGTGGAACAGAAGGAAGTTGCCTTCAGTAGTCCTCCAGGGGCTACCCACCTGCAGGAACCCAGAAGGGTCATCTTCCTTGATCACCTCCAGGCAGTACTCCATCAGGCCTGTGGACTGGCGCAGCTTCAGCGTGCAGTGATTGATCTGGTCCCAAACCATCTGCAATGGAGAGTGGATGAGCAAGAAACAGTTACAGCGACAGTGTGAGCAAGAAACATAGTTACAGCGACAGTGTGTAAGCAAGAAACAGTTACAGCGACAGTGTGTGATCAAGAAACATAGTTACAGCGACAGTGTGTGAGCAAGAAACAGTTACAGTGACAGTGTGTGAGCAAGAAACATAGTTACAGCGACAGTGTGAGCAAGAAACAGTTACAGCGACAGTGTGTGAGCAAGAAACAGTTACAGCGACAGTGTGTGAGCAAGAAACATAGTTACAGTGACAGTGTGAGCCGGTGCCTGGGCGGCTGGGAAGGGCGCTGTGGCTCTTCCCACTACACCACCAGCACTAGACTCTGCTCCCCAGTTTTGTAGTCTTCGCTGAGGATCAATGGGCCCACTTTTAGCACAGCAAAGCTTTCTGGGCTCTAGGCAGCCAGGAACACAAACAAAATGATGTACACCTCCCTCTGTGATGTGGCCAGCTTCCTGATTGATCAGAGATAACTTCCCAGAACACATGGCTCCCTTCCAACACACAACCATCTCTCTTTAAAGTAGCATTTTCTGAGGGGTGTGTGGTACTCAGGAAGTCTGGGTTATATACTGAGTTTGATAGTTTGTGACCAGCAAGCCCCTATATAAAAAAACAAACAGATAAGCTAAAATAGTATGTTTTGGGATGGGGATGTAGTTCGGTTTGTAGTGTGCTTTGTCTAGAATGTCTGAAGCCCTGGGTTAGCCCAGGAAGGGTGGTACATGCCTGGAATCCTAGCACACAGGAGGTGGAGGCAGGAGGATCAAGAGTTCAAGGTCTTTCTCAGCAAACTTGAGGCCAGCCTAGGCTGCATGAGACCCTCTCTAAAGGAAAAACAGGTGTTTGCTAATTCACTTAGATGCCTCTGGCACAGACCTCCTTAGAACCACTTCGGGTCATTCTCAGCCTCTACCTGAGCCAGGAACTTAGTGCTAGAAAGGGACATGACTCAAAGTCCCTTAGCAGAACCTGGCCACACACAGCTTTGCTGATTATAGATACGTGAGATCTAAAAGTCTGAAAAAGGAGACAGAGCGAGAGACCTGAGCAGAGCCTGACTGCTTCTGTTGCTGTCCGCACCTACTAGGCCAGATGAGAGAAGACCCCACCCACTCAACAGACACAGGCATCCAGAGTAAGTGAGAGAGGGGAGATGGATCTGAAGAAATCAGGATGCCGTAGGCCGGCTGGCTTTGGAGACTGTTTGAGAGGACTCCCTGATTCCTGAGCATAACTGGACCAGCCAGCTCTGAGCCTCTCAGCCACGACCACTCACTCAGTCACCTAAGACCATCCTGCGCTTAGTTAGGCAGGGCCACCCTATGCTGGGTGCAGGTGACATAACAGGGATAGAGGACCAGGTCTCTCAGTTCTTACCTTCAGCTTGTGCTCCCTCTCTTTGGTCACCTTGGTGAGCAGCTTGGCTTTCTGCCGGGTCAGTGCATCCACCAGGGCATCACACTGGGCCACCAGACAAGCTTCATAGTCCAATCCATTTTCCTGGGGAAGCAGAGAACCACGATGAGGAGATGCTAGTACCATAGTGTAGAAGAAACGGCTCCTCTCAGAGCTCTCCCTAATGTTTCTAAGGTGGGGGCAGCATGAATCATTAGTGTGCATCAAGAGAGGGTCCCATGAACCATGATGCAGCTCACATGGTGAAACAGCCTGTGCTCTGTTCCTAGGACATTTTTAGTGCCAGGTAGACGTAATCATAAGAGATAGTTAAAAGGGAAGAATCCTGGGCGAGGTGGGGCTTACCTGACATCCCAGCACCTGAGAGGTGGAGACAGGAGGAGCTCGACCTGAAGGCTAGCCCCAGACCTTGTCTTCAAAAAGGAGAAGGAGGAAAAGGAGGAAGAAGGTAGGACACAAGTTGTTCATGGAATAATCTCATACAGTGTCTGTGTGTCTATATATATGTATGAGTGTATGATTGTATCTGTATAGATGTACAGATGTGTGCCCTGTTCTATATGTACTTATATATGTGTGTGATTGTATGTATATGGATATACAGATGTGTGTCTGTGAATCTATCCATATGTATGTATGTATATATATGTGTGTGTGTATGATTGTATATGGATGTATAGATTGTGTAGTGACAAGCTTGGTCACCTCGGATGAGAGATGTTGGTCAGCTTTTTCTCTGTTCTATCTTCCTTACTCTCTAAAATCTCTGTACCACACACTTTGCTTTTTATAACCAGAAAAAGTAAAGCGAGTGTGAGTCTGTCTGCCTCAGTTCCCGGCTCTCTGGGATCTGAGTAGATTCTGACTTCTAACTAGGGGTTAAATTGTCCCCCTGGATCACATTCCGAATCATAAGCCCCAGGACCACACAGTGTGGCTGTGTTTGAAGACAGAAGGTAAAATGAGGCCACCAGGGTGGCCCCAGTCCAATCCAAATGGTGTCCTTATAAGAAGAAATCAGGACACAGACACACAGCGGGACAGCCACATGAGGACACAGGACTGCCATCTGCAAACCAGGCAGAGAGGTCACCTTGCTGAATCCATTTCTGCTACTGTCTCTGCTTCATCTCTGATCTCTTACAGTAGCAGTCAGAGAAAACTAATATTTCCTGTGTTTCATGAAACATCAGAGCCCTGTGACTTAAGGCTCCCATGGGAATCAGGCAGGGTGGACACCGCATGTCTATCCTCTTAGCACTTTTGAGACTAAGGTCAGCTTGGGCTTTGTAATGAGACCCTGCATATAACAACAGCAACAATGATAACAATTTTTAAAGGAGGAAGAAAGGTAGGGGAGAAAGAGGAGGATAAAGAAGAAGAGAGGTTCAGAGCCCTTAATCCTTTTCTCGGGCAAGGCATGAAAATGCTCCAGGCCTTCCTCTGTGCACATGGACCCTCTGTGTGTACGTGGTGAACTCTCCCTCCCTTGCACACAGCTCACCGAAGTGAGACTCACTGCTCTCTGTATGTCTTTCAGGCTCAATATGGGACATAGCATAGACACTCAGATAACACGTTTGTTTAGGAAATGAGGTGTTTATGTTCTGGTGCACAGATTACACAAGCGCATCTCAGTATAAAAGTGTTACCTGCGTGTAAACGGATGGAGACTGGCTCCTTCAGTACCCAGGACGGTACAACCAGACAGGTGGGCCCTCTAAAAACATCACTGCTGAAAACCACTGTCTCAAGACCAACCGTCCTCTTCCTCTGTGTGTGACAAACATTCCACCCGGTCTGTCCAGCTGTCTGCCCAGCTGTCTGTCCAGCACCAGCGTCTGCTCACCTGGATCTGCTGCAGAATGTTCTTGAGCTGAACCAGAAACTCCTTCGCCTCCTTGGCCTTATCTGAAACCCCATTCAAGGCCTGAGACAGCTGGGCCTGGAAAAGACATCAAGGATGGAGAAGCTCGTTAGCGTGGGAGGTGTGCACCTGCACCGTCGTGCTAGCCTGTGTTTGTAAGGGAGCTAAACCGGTCCCCTTGGTAAGTCGTCCTCACTTAGAAAAGAGGCCACGGCTGATCCACAAGCCGGACAGTGCATGCCTGTTTCCCATTTGTTGTTGATGTTGTTTACGCGCTGGGCCGAGAGGGAAGCTCGGGATCTTGCTACCTGCACATGCTAAGTAGCCACTCTGCCAATGAGCTACATCCCCAGACCAACATGGATCTACTTCCTGGCAGGGCTTGGTGAGTTGTTCTAGTTTCATTTCTGTGGCTGTGATAAAATAATCTGGAAAAGGTAATGTAGGAGAGGAAGCGTGTGATTGGCTCGCAATTCCAGCTTGCGGTCCATTATTGCGGGGAAGTCAAGGCAGGAACATTGAGCACCACACCCGCCATTAAGAGCATAAATGCATGGTTCCGTGCTCGCTTGCTCTCAGAGGGCTTCTTCCTCTTATATGGTCCAGGATTCCTTGCCTAGGAAATAGTGCTGCCCACAGCCAACTAAGTCTTCCCACGTTCATTAGCTTAGTTAAGACAGCACCACCACACAGGGAGAGATGCCTAGAAGCCAACCCAATGTCAGTGATCCCTCATAGAGGGACTCTCTTCCCAGGGGATTCTAGGTGTGTCAGGTTGCCACCTGAGTGTTGACTAGTCCATGCTCCACCCACTGACCCAAAGCTGCATTCCAGACTTGTGAGCTAATTGGTGGAAACTAACAGCCTATCCCAATGGCTGCAGTGCTCTGTACAATAACACAGTGGGCACAGGCCTTTGCCTGGCCTGGCCTTCCTCTTCCTGCCACAGACAGATCTGTCTCCCATCAGTAGTACTGTAAATATTCCTGACCCCAGTCAGGCCCCACCCTCCACCTACCACGGTGACAGAAAGTCTGACAACTTGCACAGGAGAACTGTGTATGGACTGGACTCACACTGCTCCATCCACGGAACCACTGGACCAGATCCTTTCCGGATCCTCGTGCAGAGCCTACATACTTACACCTTGGTCTGGGCCTCCGGTCTCTGCAACGTAGAGGATGGATCTGTTTGTTTGTTTTTCTCCAAGACAGGGTTTCTCTGTGTATCTTTGGCCGTCCTGGAACTCCCTCTGCAGACCAGGCTGCCCTTGACCTCACAGAGATCTGCACATCTCTGTCTCCCTGAGTGCTGGGATCTATTATTGTAAGCTACTTGATTTGCACTGACTTATCTGATAACTGCAACCAATGAATCCATTAGGTACAGTCTTTTCTTCTAGTTCTTCATGAATATTCATAAGATGGAATTACACTACGCCTGTACTTTGTCCACATAACACAAACAGACATGACCTTCTGGAGAAGAGGAGGGGGCAGGCCAAGGTCCACTACCTTCAGGATGAGTCAGAAGCCCAGAAACCCAAGTGCTCAGCAAGCATCATGGCGTCCTGCTAACTCTCTCTAATCAGTCCCCACCCAGCCTTTCCGGAGGCAGATGGAGACTAGGGAACCTACTTGAGGACAGTTCCAAATGAACCAGCTCTTTGGGGCTCAGTCCTGTTTCTATTCCATTGTTCAGTGGCAGAGCCCGAGGTGGGAGCTGCTCTTTCCTGGAGCCGGCCAGAGGAACAGGACAATTAGGGCAAGCCAGCCATGCTTCTAATTCTCACAGAGGGTACAGTTACGAGAGACGTCCCGTCTAAGCCTCACTGCGTAAGGGCACAGAGGCGAGGCTGTGGACAGGGACACGGTCTCTGCCACTCAGCCTTTGCACTTACATTAATGAGCATGACAGTGACAGGGCTTTTCCTTGTGACGTGTGACAGGTGGTCTCCATTGTGTTCGGTCAGGAAAGTGCATTGTCTCTGGGCTGGGGAAATGGTTCAGAGAGTAAACTTCTCGCTGTGCAAGCCTGGGGTCCCGAGTTTGGGTCCCCAGCCCCTAAATAAAAGCCAAGCGTCTGTAACCCCAGTGCTGTGTGGGATGGTGAAAGACAGATGTCTGAAGCTCATTGGCCAGCCCGCCTAGCTGTTGGAGAACCATTGAAGAAGATACCCGACGTGGACCTCTGGCCTCTACCGTCACCTCAACACAAGTGTACTCAAATGCACAAGTGCACAATACCATCATAAGCATGTACATAGACAAGAAGAAGTTCATCCAAGAAGAATGTATTGTCTTAATACAAATGGCAAATGACCAAATTCTACAAACACCTTCCCTGTAACTAGCTTCCTCTGCCTTCCCATACCTCCTCTGCCCGTGTGACATTCCAGTAAGTTGGTCCAGCAAACCTACGCCCAGTGTATGTATTCTCTGGGTCAAGAAAAAGCATTCCGGCATTTCCCAGCTGGCTCCTGTCATCTTGCGAGGTCAGCTGATTGCTTCTGACACACACAAAAAGAGACATCGGTTGCAGGCAGGCAAGAGGGAGGAACGGAGGAAGGGAGGGATGGAGGAAGGGAGGGATGGAGGAAGGGAGGGGGAGACAGAGAGGGATGGGAGAGGTAGAGAGGGAGAGGAAGAAGGAGAGGAAGTGAAGGAGGGAGGGGGAAGGGAAGGGAGGGAAAGAGGGGGCAGGCAGACAGGCAGGCAGGAAGGTTGAGGCAGCGGTGAGCTCAGAGTGTAAGGAAATGTGTACCCGGAAAGACATTGATTGTTCTTGTATTTTCACACACGGTCCCCTAAGAATGACCCTTCCTTTGTGAATCTCTCTGCGCACGAGTCGGTGAGCAGTTAATAGTGTCAGCTCTGAAATAATAATCTATGGTATTGACATTAGCATACATCTCAGGGTTACAGCTTATTCATTACTCAATAAAGGTTCTTTTGACCTCCTGAGTGCCGGCTGCTCTCCTGGCTACTAGAGTACAAAGACGCAATTAAGGCGCGATCCTTGCTCACAGGGTCCTTGAATTGCGCTGTTATTTATGTGTGTGGTATCTAGAGATGGCTCAGAAATGAAGAGATCATGTCAGGCTCTGTCAGCTGCATGGCGTCATGCAGGTGTGAATAACGAGAGTCTAACAAGATGGAATTCTATTTTTAAAGCCGGTTCTAGTATTAGAATAAGTGCCCACTGGAGGACTCGAGACTACCCAACTGGTGGGAAAGAAGCGAAAGTGAGCACAAGCCACGCTTCCTGAGCAGATAATAGCTCAGGTCACACCCCACCAGCAACAAGAACAGGCCTGGTTGGGGAAGTATGGGCACAAACCCTGCACTGGCATCTCAACTTCAGCCGTGAAGCTAGACCACATGCCAAGCAGAGCCAGGCAAGGTGCTTGACACCCCCAAACCAAAACAACTTGCTTAGGACCAGACAGGTTATAGTTTCAGCACCGTAAAATCAAGATGACCTCGCTATGGTCAGGTTAGCTCAAGTATTGGTGTCTCAGAACCAAAGTGCCTTCCCTAGGATTATGTCTTGAAACTACTTCTGCGACAATAATGACTAAGGAGAATCTGTCTCAGTTCATCTCTGTGGTCAAATCACCCAAACAAATAAATAAATCACGTCTGTCTCAGGGTTTAGATTACACCCTTTACCATCCACATCCCTCTACTCCCCTGACCCCTGACTTGCCTCTCCCATGCCCCCACGCCTCTCTTCTGTCCCACACTGAGAACTATCTCCATGCATGTTCAGTCGTATGCACACTGCTGCTATTCTCTTTCCCTCCTTCCTTCTTTCCTCCTCCTCCTCTTCCTGTTCTTCTAGGTTTTTCAAGACTTGGTTTTTCTGTGTAGCCCTAGCTGTCCTGGAAGTTGCTCTGTAGACTAGGCTATCCTCGAACTCAGAGATCTGCCTGCCTCTGCCTCCCCATTGCTTGGATTAAAGGTGTGGGCCACCACCCTGCTTGGTATTGCGGATGTTCTGGGTTTCTTGTTTGTAATGTGACAGCTGCCTCTTGTCCACTTAAACAACCAGAGGTAAGAATCATCCCAAATCATCCTCTCCATCATCCTCTTAAATCCCTTTCTACCATTTCCTCAGGGATCCCTTTTTCTTGCTTATTTTCTCTTCCCAATTTTGTTCCAGTAGCTTGGAAAGTAAATCGAGGTGTTCAGAAGGGGTCTTCCATCAGGTTTTATTAGCAAAACAGAGTAAAGTATGTAGACAGAAGTTTCTGTCCTGTCTGGTCCCGCAGCTTTTCTCAATAAGGCATTCTCATCTTGCTTCCTCTGCTTCTGGATGACGACTGCATCTTTGCCTTTTCTCTTCCCAGAATTCTCCTAGTCTGATTGCCCCACCTATACTTCCTGCCTGGCTACTGGCCAATCAACATTTTATTAAATCAATACAAGGAACAAATCTTTATAGTGTACAAGAGCATTATCCCACAGCAAAAATGATGAAAATGGATAAGAACTCTGACCTGGCTTTGCCAGTTCTCCTGTGAGGTTTAAATGGGGCTAAGGATAGACCTTTCTTTGCCTCTCAAGCTTGATGTCCCTTCCATGTGGCCTCTTGGTTTCTTTGTTCCACCAGACCTCTCCACTGTCTACAGACATTTCCATAACTTCCCAGTGCCAAAGGGGCAGCTAATTACTCAAGTTTCCCAGTTTTGTTAGACACAATGTCATGTTTTTTTACTATCCCTATCATTTGTGTCAGAATTTAAACACAAGGCGCTCTACCAGTCGTGAGTCTTAGTAAACTACAGGTATGGAACCCGGCTGGGTGAGCGGGGCTGTGTGAGGACCAGTCCTCAGCAGTGATGGATAGAGTGACAGAATCAATAGGGGAGGCCAAACAGGCTGATGGGCTACAATGATGCCATAGCAGGTGTGACATCAGACGGTGACATGCCATCTCAACGTCCACAGTGGTCATTCTGGAGTCTGTGGTACCCACGCTGGGAAGAGTAGCTTCTTCCAGCAACCATAAGGATTCTGGGTTCCTGTTGTCAATATCTCTGGCAACATACTGGTTTTGTCATGGTCTCTGGGACT